AAAAAGTTCGTTTTGTCTCTATAATTTACAGTGAATCTCATTTAGAGCCAAAATGAACATTTTAATTTGATACGTTTCTTGAGGCGATGCCTAAACGGAATGGTATTTGTTTGATGTTATGAAGATATGAAAACAAAGACAAAGAAGTTGATAACAGCATCTGGGTCCATTACCTGCTCTTGCAAAATATCCACAGTGTTGTTGCAGCAGGGAAGTAAATGGATTATGAGCCAGCATCCTTCATATGGCAGCGAACACGTGCCTGAAAAAACAAGTAAAGAAATTAATTTCACCTGACAAATAAAAGGTGTGTGTTTCTGTGTATTTCAACAGCTGCTTGACTATAAAAGAACATTTTCTTAGTTGTTTATGACTGACAGCCTGAGTGTATTTATCTCTTTGTATTGTAACCGTAGAAATAGGTGTTGCATAACCATAGATATGGGTGTAACTAAGCACAGATATGGGTGTAGCTTAAGCATAGAAATAAGTGTGATGGAGTCATAAAAATGGGTGTAAGTTGCCACAGAAATGAGTGTAGCATGACTATGGAAACAGATGTAGCATAACTATGGAAATGGATGTAGCGTAGCCATAAAAATGAGTGTAACATAGAAATGGGTGTAGGGTGGGGGTCAGCAACCCAAATGTTAAATGTTTCACCATCATGGCAGTAAATCTGTCTCAGTATGTGCTAATGTGCTAATACAGGCTAAAAATAAACAAAATACAGCCTTAATTTGCTCTGCTTTAAGCTTTAACTCAGCTATAGCCGCTTTTCTCACATCTCCAGCAGGAAACCTTTCCGCAAAAGTAGAACAGTTTTTTGTAAAATGTCTCTTAATGTTTGACTTCATGCTGAAGTTGCTTCTCATTCGCCAGCTTCTTGTTTGAATTTTCCCGTTCCACCTTAAATGGTGCCTGAGGCGCCAGAATGTAGCTAACTATGTAGCTAACTGTTGCACCATTTAAACAGCCTTGCAACTTTTTAGTGTTTGTCAGTTTCTCATTGCAGATTAAAGGTGTCAGGAAACCAGCTGGAGTGATTATAAACACAAATAAGTCCATTCATCTCCAAATTATCGATGTTCGTCTTAAATCTTTCCCTTTGCCGTTTCGTTAGCTACTAGCTAGGTGTTGCTATGGTGACCAGCAGTCTGCGCTGATCTTCAGGGTTAAAGGGTGAATTAGCAGTTCTACATTAACTCCAGAGTTTTGTAATTGAATGATTTGTAATTGAATGATTTTCTCTTTTAAATGTATAGTTTTAATCATGTTTTAATTACGTCATTTTCTGACCCTGTATTTTCTCATTTGTAAAGCACTTTGAATGACAGCAGTGTATGACAGGTGCTGTACAAATAAACTTGCCTTGCCATACTTAAGTACTTAAATGGGTGTAGCATAGCCATAGAAATAGGTGTAGCATAACTGTGGAAACTGATGTAGCGTAACACTGAAATATAACCATAGAGATAGGTATAGCATAAATATAAAAATGAGTGTAAATAGCCATAGAAATTAGTGTAGTGCAGCCATAGGAATGGGTGTATATAGATGGGGTTTAAATGCCCCCAAGTCTGATGGAAACATGAAAGCTGTGAGTCTGTGGAGATGTAGACCAACACTGATCTTCTGGTTGGTAAGGTTAAAGTCTGTTAGATGGAGCACAGCAGCATTAACACAGACACACACGCACACACTCTAGTGTGCGTTACCCATGAAGACTGCCTAAAAAACGAGAATCACACGTTACGAGACTCAAATTGTTTCTGCTTGCTATGTATTTATGCAGCATAATATACAGTGGAGCAAAAATAAGCAGTGCAAATGACCCACATAAAAGCAGCGAACTTTAACACACTCAGCAGAAAGCCTCATGAATTAAATATTGTATTAATTAAACTGCAGAGGAAGAAAGACTTTGAAAGACGATGCTCCAGCACAGCAGTTCTAATAGGCCTGATTTTCAACACTTCACTAATTCTACTTTTCCTCTGTAAACTGAAATATAACAAACATGTTTAATAGGTTTGCTGTGGTGTTTAATGTAATGGCTGAGTGGGTATGGAGTGTAACGCCATCTAGTGGTACAAAATGCCAACTGTGCCCATCCCATTTCTCATGTTGGGCCTTGTATGGGTATTCCCCCAGAATAAGAGGCAGTTAGCTGTCTTTTTTCAGGCCCTTTTGACAAAAGGTTACTTAGAGAACCATTAAAGGTGTTTGTTTTATGTATGGAACCCCTAAAAGATTCTATTTATTAAAAGGCTCTTTTGAAACACAGAAAAGATTCTATATTGTCACTGTTGGGACCTCCATTATTATTATTATTATTATTATTATTATTATTATTATTATGCATTGAATACTCATTGTACAGTGTTTTAAATTGAATCACAGTTAACCATTAAACCTCTAAAGAACCGTTTAGGTGATAAAGGGTTCAATGACTAAATTATAAAGTGTTCTTTCAGCAGAAGAATAAACCCTGAGATTTTATATGGCAGTGGTTCTTAAACCAGTCTTTAGCCCCACCACCAGTAGTAAAATCAAATTAAAGAGCAATTCCACCAATTTTTCAACATTTTTGCACAACTCTGTTGTTGTGATATATAAAAAAAAAGTCATTCAGGGTGGTTTGGTGTGAAACGGTTCAGATGTCTTTACAGTGGTGGTGATAGGAACCAGGGGTCGCCATGACTACAACACAAATATAGACATTTTATTTACCATCCAAAACCACCAGTGAACCTACACGAGTCTTCTGAGTTTATATGGAATGTTGATGATGGAAAATAGTGGAAAATCTGAAATAATGAAATAATATTTTGCCTCACAACGCCCTGCATGTATCCCGCCACCATTAATAGATTCAAATAAATAGATTAATAGGACCTTTTAGGCCAAAACTTTAACACAAAACTATCTTAAAACAATGTCAGCATATTTATAACCATTTCAGCTTTCTGTGAGGGAGCTTTTAGAGGTGGACGTCTGGTTCCTATCACCACCACTGTAAACAATTCTGACTCGGTAAGTTTCTCTAGAACAGAGCGTTTCACACCAAACCACTCTGAATGACTCTGTTTACATCTTAATCATTAAATTATGTTGAAATTTTTCAAATAATTGCTGGAGTTCTCCTTTAAGTTGCTGATTTGTGCTCTGCCACAGAACTGGGGCTTAGACTATATTAACAAAACATCTACACAATATGTATTTATATTCTTTATATATTATTTTGTTAAGTCTCACAACCCAAAATCAAAAATACTAAGTGTAAGAGGCTGAATAAAAATCACAGCACTGCTTCAGTTATTCTGACCACTGCCCTGAGGGTCAGTATGAGAGGAATTTTATTTTGGTTCAAAACTAACAGCGCCTAACCGCCGGTTGGTGGCGGGAGTACCCGCCCACAGCGTCACGCTTTCGCCTGTTGGGTACACCATTGGTTGAAACGAATGAGTGACAAGCGGCGAGCACCAATCCGGAGGGAGAACCGCAGCGCGAAAGTCAAATCTGTTTGAATGTTGGAGGCTGAGACGCAGGTTTGAAGAAACGAGCTGCGAGATTTCATCTGAACTCTAAAATATTTTTAATATTTACGGACGCCAGCTAGACACTACAGTCGGGGTAAGTCACATATATGTTTTAAAACCTAATCGTATCGGCGTAACATCATTTTAATCATAAAAAACAATCAAAACTTCCTAACTTAGCTTAGCTTAGCTAGCCGCTCACTTCTGTGGAGAATAACGTTAGCTTAACTAACTTTAACTGACAAAAACATGACGTCACTGTAATGTCCAGTGCATTAAAACCTACATTTATCTCCCACAACTGGCTTTGAATTTCGTTATTCATTCATAGTATATAGTATTTTGTTATCTAGGGAGACTGAAGCTGAAGTTAGGTTCTTAATCGCCCGCTTCACATTGGAATTCCCCGTTCCACCTTAAATAGTGCAGCAGGTACGTTCTGGCGTCTTGGGCAGCAGAATGTAACTGCTGCACCATTTAAGGTGGAACGGGTAATTCCATTAAGAAGCCAACTTCAGCCTCTTGAATGACCCGTGGACTGTTAGTAAATTCATACTGTCGAGCTAGAACGTATGTGCTACTGGTAACGTTGGTCTTATTCTTGTTTTTTTCATGAACAGGTGATCATTAAAGTCTGTAAAGAGCGGCTGAGACTGAACAAAATGGACACAGCAGTGAAAAAGGTAATATTTTGCACACGGTTAAGCACAAACATAAGGTTTAGTGTGCGTATGTTCACAGGGTTGGACAGAATAACTTTGAAAAAGGAGTGATGGCTGAATACTGAATACACTGTACTAAATGTGTTTAATAATGTATTTAGAATGTATATTGATAAGACACATCGCTGTTACTGGTGGCAGTTTTCTTCATGTAATTCTTCTGTTAATGTTTCATGGAAAATTCACATATTTAAGATTCTCAGCGGTTCTCAGTTTTGGCTCTCACCACCTGCTTTGGTTCACTGCCGCTCCCATAATCTCACTGCTGTCTTATGAGCTAAGCAAACAATTTGCCTTATCCCTATAACCTCTATCAAGTGGACTATCAAGTGGGTAGCTGTGTGATTTTTCAGTTTACAATACATATATAACTTACCGCGAAATGGATGCACGAGCCCAGCACGTTTAATCATGCTGACATTAATAACTGATCATCACATTGGTTTATCAGTCTACTCAGGCTTTAGCATGAACTTCTTCTGTGCTTATTTTAAAGTAGTTAATAAACATTGATGGTGTTTCTTGTAAAGATGGTAGGTTACGTTGTTTTATTTAGCAGATAAATATCCCAAAATTATTCTAAAAAGTTAACTATTTTCTGAATACTGCCTTTACAAAATCTAACTTGGCCTGAATCCAGATTCTTAATTTCTGTTTTCATTCCCAAAGCTTGTATTCTGATACATCCCAACCCTCTATGTTATTTTAGAGGAGGTAACAAAGATCACTTGAATAGTTGAACTGTGTGTGATGCCCTAACAGAATTCCTGCTTCTGCACGTTTTAGAGTTTTTGTACTGTAAAAGACCTGATTCAACTTACCAGGTCATTATCTAGCCCTTCATAAAGTTAAAAAGGATGTTTTACAGCAGAAAAACAGCAAAATGCTCAATGAGCTACGGGAGAAGTATCTGTTTTTGCTTTCGATCCACTTCAGTTCAGTTCCAACTCTTGATCTAACTCAGATTTCCATGAGTATTACAGTCATGTGAGTTTGATCAAGGTTGGACCACTAATTAATTTAGGCCAGTACAGTCCCAGTGAACAGGGTGGGGTTCATATGAATATGCAGTAAATGGATACAGTTTTAAATTTTGATGTTAATTTATTTCAGAGCAATAAAGAAAACACCAAGCCACTGGCTGGTCAGAAAAGGCCAGAGTCCAGAAGTGTCATATCAAAGCAAAAGCTGACTAAAGTTGCACCGCTGCAGTCCAAAAATGACCTTAAGGAAGAAAAGAAGGAGGGGAACCTGGGAGAAAAGCCTGAGGCGAAAGAACAAGTCAAACCAGTAACCAAGACCAACGCGTCAGATCCTAACAAGCGGAAAACGCTGAGCCAGGCTTTCCGCACCGAACAGTCTGTTAGACACAGAAAACTGGTGGTGGAGGCCCAAAAGCCCCCACCAACAGCACCCCCTAAACCCATCCCGGGCACCTACAAGGGCAGAGTGGTGAAGTCTAAAATAGACTGCTTCAGGAAGCCCCCCAGTGGTGAAGAGAAAACAGCTGAGGCAACAGCAGTCGCTAAATTCACTAAACCAAGCGTGCCTAAGCCTAAACCTGACGTGGGAACTTTGTCCAAAATTCGATCAAAGAGTGTCACCACTTTACCTGGTTCCTCTAGACCACCCCGACCTCAGCCTAATTTGCCCAGCAGAACCAAGTCGGTGTCGGATGTGCAGCTAAATGTGGCGGAGAAGCCAATCCAGAGGTCCATCTCTCAAAGACAAATCCCACCCAAAGCTCCAGCATCCGCTCGACCCACCGTGCCTCGCCCAGCAACCATACCACCAAGGCCGGCTCCGGTGACCACAGCTCGTCCAGCCTCCAGCAAGATCACCTCGTTCATCAGAAAGAAGGAGCCAGCAGTGCAGAGCGTCAAACCCAAACCTGCAGCAGCTGCTGTGGAGCAGAAAGCCCAAAGACCGGCCACCGGCACCACCAGCCAGTACAGAATCCGAATGGAGACCGCAGAGGAGAGGAAGTGCGTACATCTCTGACCTTCTTTGTAGAATAATGCTTTTCAACCATGTAGCCATGTAGTTAGATCAGCTTCTACCTTCTACCTACACCCGTTGGTCATTTTATTGTAAACATTCACTATATCAGTGTGTTTTAGTGGAGGTGGCCGATACGGTTTAAAATGTATATCTCGGTATTTTTCAGCTTTTTGATAACTTGTGTCGTACATTCTGTCAGAGTGATTTATTTATTTATTTATTTTTTTATTATTTTTTTTTCAGTTGGAAGATTCATTATTTGTAGTAAAAAGCCTTTATTAAATGCTATGAGATGCAAAGTTGGAGGTAAACAAAGCATTGCCAGGTAGATTCAAAATGAAATGACTTCAATAAGCACTAAATTAAAGTAAATATCTAGATTATATATTGGAGTAGATTAATGTTGTACACTATATTTCCTTATAATCCATATTTCTGCCATAGTTTCATCATGAATAATTTTATTCAGACTATTTTTAGGTTTAAAATGCATTAATAAATCTGAAGGAGTGATTTTCAGAATGTTATAATTAATTTAGAATAATTATCAGTAAATTAAGCTTTTTAATATAACTCTTAGAATATTTTCAAACTTAGAAATACAACAAAACAGCTTCCTGTATTGTTTTTATAGTCAATATTTCACAACTCCAGTTAACTTTGTAGACTATATTTCCTTATAGTTTCCTTATAGTTATAATATTTCCTCTGTAGTTCCATCAGTAATAATGCTATTTAGACTATTTTTAGGTCCAAAACGCTTTGATTAATCTGGAGGTGTGATTTTAGAATAATAATCAATAAAGTGAAATTTTAGTATAACTCTTAGACTATTTTCAACCTTAGAAATACAAAACAGCTTCCTGTATTGTTTTCATTGTCAGTATTTCACAACTCCAGATTATATAGTAATACAATTATGTATTCAGCATTATTTTAGAAGTATTGCTAAAACGTGCCAAAATAATCAAATGGAATTGTTGTGAAGTAATTAATAATAATTTAATAATTAAATTTAATAATTAATGATGCACTAATTCTAGGGTTTCTTTTGGACTTTTCGTCAAGAAATTTAGACAGTAAACGGTAAAAAAAGTAGATAAAAGATTTTATTTGTATGTCAGTTGGGCTGTTCAGCCATTAAGCAGCATCATATCCTCACATGTAAATGTATTTCTTTGCAGGGCAAAGTTGGCAGAATGGCTGGCATCAAAGGGGAAGACCCTGAAAAGACCACCGATGACGGAGAAGGCGGCTCCTCCAGCAAGCAAACCTGCTCCACCACCCAAAGCCACACAGGAACCCAGTAAGGTAGCACAGCTTGAGCCTCAAGCAGAACCTGAGGAGAACCAGCCTGGCTGTGAGGAGACGAGTAACGATCAGCCTCAATGTGATCTCGTCCCTCAGAGCAAGCCGGTGTTCTCCAGCAGCCCAAGCCACATCATGAACACAACACTAGACCTACTGGACAGTTCAGTTATGGATCTTCCTGTGGATCCGGAGATCAGATTGGAATCGGTATGAGCCAGATAATCTTTGGTTTTTCGTGTTTGGCTTTATGTTCGAGTAGGGCTGAAAGATTAATCGTTTTTATATCAAAATCGCAATTTAATAAGCAATTTTCAAATCGCATAAGCTGCAATTTTTTTAATTAATTATAGCCTACAGTCTTAATAAAGGTTCTTCAAAAAGATGGTTCTTTAGTAAAAACAGTCATTCTGTATAGAACCAAGAACACTCAATGGCCCATTTGCATGCTTAAATCGTTCTTTGCATGGTGAAATGGTTTTTCGGACTGATGGAGAATGTGTTGTATAGGGTTCTAAATTGAACCAAAAAACTAAAAATGTTATGAAGTCAGACTTCTAACAATAGAAGAACATTTTGGTGCTATATAGAACCATATACAACACATTCTCCATCAATCTGAAGAACGATTTTTAGCATGCGAATGGGCTGTTGAGTGTTTATGGTTCTATATAGAACCATTGTCTTGACTAAAGAACGTTTGAAGAACCATCATTTTTAAGCGTGGGGAAAAAAGGCGGATGTTCTGGTCTTCCTGGCCAAAATAAATCAGGCCGGAATCACTATTTATAAAAAAATGTAATATTATTATATTTCACTTTATATTTTAATATAAAGTGAAATATAATAAAGTAAAAAATAAATGCATATTTAAATTAGGGATGCACCGATATCGAGTATTTTTCAAAGACATATCTGCCAATAGATAAATGTTTATAAAATGTAGAAATGCCATTTTGTATTGTTTTCCATATGAATCATAAATAATAAGTCTGTAATTTTAAGGAATTAAATGTGAAATATGATGTTTAGTCATTAAGCAAATACACAGTGTGCCTAACTACAACAACTGGATGTCTTTCTCGGTTAATGTGGTTACACATTCTCTCCTATCCCATTGCAGCTGGTACTCAACTTGTGTGACAAGCTGGATGCGATGGAAATCCCTTCTTCTTGTGAGAGTGGTGAGTTTCCTTTCTTTATATAAATATAATCCATTTTTCAGTTTTCTGCTCTTGAGTACTGAACTACACTTTTGTTGTTGCCGGTTTATTAGAAGCCCTTACCGTGTACCTACAATCATTGGACATTTTATCAGAAACACCCACCATATCGGTGCACAGTTAAAGACTGTAGCCCGACTGCACAATTTATCTATCCTCTATCCAGAGGTCTTCAAATCCAGACCTTGAATCCAGAATCCAGTCCTGTATTTTGTAATCACTGGTAGTTAAATGACTTGATGTAACTGATTGGCCATCTAGCATTGTACATACAGGTGTCAGCAAAATCCAGGACCAAAAACTGGATTAAAGGTCCAGATTTGATGACCCCCGCTCTAGCCCATATATCAGAGGAAAGGGACCACCACCACTGTACATGTTTTATTTGGGGGCTGGACCATTTAGTAGGGAGGATAGAAAACACAGATAAAGTATACACCGATCAGGCATAACATTATGACCACCTCCTTGTTTCTAAGCTCATTGTCCATTTTATCAGCTCCACTTACTATATAGGTGCACTTTGTAGTTCTACAGTTACAGACTGTAGTCCATCTGTTTCTCTGATACTTTGTTAGCCCCCTTTTACCCTGTTCTTCAGTGGTCAGGACCCCCATGGACCTTCACAGAGCAGGTACTATTGTGGTGGATCATTCTCAGCACTGCAGTAACACTGATGTGGTGGTGGTGGTGTGTTTGTGTGTGTTGTGCTGGTACGAGTGGATCAGACACAGCAGTGCTGCTGGAGTAATAGTAAATTTAGCTTTTTATGAAGCAAAGGACCATAATACACTGAAATTACATTACTAAGATAACCATTGTATTATCCTAATTTTTAACAAGAAAATACTCACATTTGTGGGTTTCTTTGGTCTCTTGCTCAGCCATCTTGATGTTTTTCCAGTTTTTTCCTCATAATACTCTGTTTGGAACCTCTGAAAAACCTCCATTTACAGGGCCATGTAGCCCTAACACTTTGCCCTACAAGAATCGGGACACCCTACCCCTAGACGTGAACGTGTAAACGGAGGGGTAGGGCTGAGTGGTAGGGGAGAGGGGTGAAACGGGATTGGCCCAAACTGAGCATCAACAGATGAGCTACAGTCTCTAACGGTGGAGCTACAAGTGACGGGGTTTCTGATAAAGTGGCCAGTATATTAAGCTGTAACTTTTCCACCTTCTCTCCTCTTCAGCAGATACAAAGACGGGTGATGATGATGATGAAGTTGAGATTTTGGTTAACGTCAAGGTGGAAGAAGAAACGGTTAAAGAATATGAGATCCTGGAAGAGGAAGAACTGGAAGTAAAGCTAGAATCAGTGGATGATGTTGCAGTAGACGGACAGGAGGTCAAAGTAGAGTGTGAAGAGAAGGTTCAGGAGCGGAAAGATGTGAAGCTGTTTAAAGATGAGGTCACAGAGGAGGAGGAGGAAGAGGACGACGATGACAGTGATGATGAGAAGATGGATTCCACACCTGCTGAGGTTACGGAAGCATCTGTGGTGAAGTACAGTGTGAGAACGACTCCGTTCCTGCAGAGGTGAGCGTGATGTGGTGAACTTGATCCTTATTACCACTGAAGGTTTTTCAAGTTACAAATCACTGTTTTCAGTAATATGAAATCGCTTGAGGACCAATGTGTAAAATTATTCTAATATGTTAATCCTGTGCAGTTTCACAGCTTTCAGATCATTAGTAGTAAACTAGGAAGCTGTAAATAAGAATTAACAGGCATTTCTCTTAGAGAACAAATCAGCGTCAAGTCACAACAGCAAAGAACTAACTTTCAAGTGGACAAGCTACTCTGGTGCTACAGGATTTTGGGATAATCCTCAGAGTTATTTGATAAGATAATGTGGGTGGGTGTGCAGGGGTGACAAAGCTTTTCAACTGATTTTTGCAGGTTGAAAACTTTTTGGTCATATAATCATAAAAATGCAAGGTTTAATAAAGATGCATTCACTTAATAAGGGGTTTCCCACTGCACATTCAGAACCATGAATTGACCCAAATGTGAACCAGTTGAATTCTTATAGTTCATATTCCACCTGCTGGATCTGCTATAATAACCATGATTAACGATTTAATTGACCTTTGAGTCATTTTATGTCACTCTAAAGCATCTAATTTAGCTAATTAGCTAAAATTAAAGTAAAAGAACAATTGCAATATATTAATCATTGAGAAAACCTGTTGTACACATTGTTAGAGTTCTTAAAATCTAGAATAAAAAGAGTAAAAATTCCTAGTTTGTCACATTCCACATTGTATAGGTTTTATATAGGAAGTGATTCCAAACATGAAAGTTATGCTGTTTTTTTTTGTTTTTTTTTGTAAATTTTTTTGTGTTTGGCTTTACTCTTTCAGCAGAAAACAGAGTCACTTAAGCCATTTTCAGATTTCAGATTGTCTGTTTTTGTCATGCTAGTGTAAAAAAGAGGATCGAGGCTGAAGGAGAAACAGCAGGCAGCGCCTCTCGCCGCAAGAGCGCCATCAAGGACCTGAAATTTCTCACGCCAGTTCGCCGCTCATCACGCATCCAGCGCAAATCCTCCCGTCTGCCGGACATGCTGACTGACCACGACCCCTGCGTTTCCTCGCTGGCTGAGCTGGTGCAGCTGGACGACGCAGACTCCAATGCCTACATCTACAGGAAGAACCCTGCTCTGCTGGACCACCTGCCCAACCAGGCTGGAGACTTGGAGAGGCTATCAGAAGAGAAAAAATAAGCTGAAGTGATGGGAAAGGTGCAAAGGTGTTTGAATGTTTTTACTAAATGAATATACAAATGGCCTAACCAGGCTCCGCCCACAAATCAGTTCAGCCTTTCATAGCTGCAGCTGTAATTGTTAATACTTGAGATGTAAACAGAGTGGTTTAGTGAGAAATGCTTTATTGTGGAGACTCAGATGTCTTTAAAGTGGTGGTGATAGGAACCAGGGGTTGCCATGACTACAACACAAATATAGATATTTTATTTACTATCTATAAGAGATCATAAATCATTAAACTGTCAGACATCAAGCGGCGTATTCATAACCTTTTCATGTAATAACATCGTACCAATCCGAATGACTTTAACATCTTGACTGTTTAAATTGTGAAATATTGGTGGAATTTCCCTGGCAATGACGTAGATTTTTTACCAGCGTTCTGTAAAGCTTGTCGAGCCATGAAAGAACACCTTTGTGGGCGGAGCCTGAAGAGGGGAATTGAACCGCTCTAATTAACAAAGATGACACTGATGACTTTTCTAATTTATCTAACACTGCTGGGGATGGATCTGCCTCCAGGTAAGCTAACAAAGCAAGCTGCTTTCCTTTTAACTGATAAAAGAAGTGTATCAAAGCTTACATGCCTCATTTTAAGTAATATTACCCTGTGGGCTGCCATAAGCACATTATTTACATCATTATTTACATTACAGTCATATTTACTAACATTGGGCAGGTTACCACTGCTAAACTGCATCCATTCACTCAACGTGTAAATCTTAAGGTACCATCATCATGTAGAACAGGGTTTCTCGACCATAAGTGGGCCACGAAGCACCCTTTGGTGGTGCTCGGGCCACTACTGAAGGACCAGTGGGCCAGTGACGGCATTTCGTCGTGGCAAATCAGTGAAAGAAATTATTGACTTAATAATAACAATTAAATTGTAGCCTCTTAAACTCCTTGAGACCACCGGTGGTTCCAATACGCACTTCATCATATTCTTCATAACTTTCATATTTCATAAGCTACATTCTAAAGGTGGGGGTCGTATGAGAGCTGTAACTGTCTTCTTTCCAGTCAAATAGATGGGTGATGTAATTTTAAACCCTTATAATAAAAGAAGCTGAACTCAGTTTTTTCTCTACTGAAAGTCGACCCATTTTTCCACAAATCTGGGCTAGAAACTATAAACAGTTGGCTCCTCTTCAGTGATCTGCTCTGTAAACATTATTTTTATAAAATAACACAAAGCGTCTAAGATTTTTGGCTTTCAGCAGTAAATTTTAAGCATATAGCAATATGTGTAGATCATAAAACACACGTTCTGTTAATCTGAGGGGAACTTTTACAAAAAATAAATAAATAAAATAAAAATGTGCATTTATTTCATGCAGTTACTGAATAATTTGTCTTACAATTTGGTCATGAAAATTCAGATGGAAAAACCAAAATATACCCTGGAGAAAAATAGGTTAAAATGGTAAACAATAATAATGATACAAGCCAGGCAACAACGGCGCACAAAAACATCTTCGTAAATTTTTTGCCCCTTTTGCCTCTAGAACCAAAATACACACTCCTGACATCTCAGCTGTTCACTTGGGAGTAACTGAATGAAATAAATGTAAGTGTTGGTGTTTTGTAAAAGCTCCCCTCAAATGAACAAGCATTGTGTTTTATGATCATAAACATGTTGCTCTATGCTTACAGTTTACTGCTGAAAGCCAAAAATCTTAGACGCTCTGTGTTTTTTTTTATAAAAATAATTTTTACAGTGCAGATCACTGAAGAGACGCCATCCAAGATCCAGTTTACAGTTTAGATTTGTGGAAAAATGGGTCGACTTTCAGTAGAAAATAAATCAGCTTCTTTTATTATAAAGTTTTAAAATTACATCACCCATCTGTTGGACTAGAAAGAAGACAGTTACAGCTCTCATATGACACCAATGACCAACTTTTGAATGTAGCTTATGAAATATGAAAGTTATGAAGTAAAGAATATGACTAAGTGTGTTTTGGAACCGCTGGTGGTTCCACAGAGTTAAAGAAGTTAAATATGTTTTTGCCTCTAGAAACAAAATACACACCCCTGACAACTCAGCTGTTCCCTTTGAGCGACTGGTGTTAAAATTATAGTGTAGAAAATTTCTACTTAATTTGCCACCATCCTGTAAATATTTTGTTTTATTTCACTGATACTTGTTGTGTGTTTGAGGGGTAGGCACTCAAACATTTCCCAAAAAGAAAATAAGATTTAAAAAATTGTTTTATTCCTGTGGGCCTGCATGCTTTGTAGTGATAAATGTGTGAGCTTTGAGGTGGAAAAGCTTGAGAACCCCTGATGTAGATACTACTACAGTCTTTATTAATGCTGCATGAGTTCGAATTAACCTGAGAGTTAATGTAATTTTTATACTGCACTTTCTGATGGCTCATATTTTGGAGGCTTGATTATGAAACCCTCATAATAATAATCTGTAGTTGAACAGCTAGAACGCTTACAAAAGCCATATTTAAAGATACATGAGGTGAAAAGTTACACTTTGCTGTTCTACTTGTATGTATTTTCTGTTTTTCCATTTCCTCTCATTTTCCTTTCCTCCGCTGTCCTTAATATCGACAGAATCCTGTCCACTCACAGCTCCCACTGTTCTGACAATTGATCAGTCTTTCTAAAGACTGTGTTCAGGCCTTCGTTGTAAAATGTCCCTTTAAATAAATGTTCTGTCCTCATTTGTGTTGTGGCTGTTCTCTGAAGATGATTTTTCTTGCCTGCTCGGTCGCTGGTGGTCAAGATGTGCTTCTACCCTTCGCCTGAAGACGCGCAAACCGAGTACGAGTATCTGAATTTCACCCTAATAGCTCAGAATCTCAAGAAAATAATTATTTTAAGATGCTGAGTCAGAGTTTGAGGAAGTAAGTAGTTTTACTAAGCCAGTGTATATTATTATTATTCTGAGAGAAGTCAATGTTTTGAAAGCCTCATATTTGAGGTGCAGGGACAACCCCGAAGTAAGTCATTATTTTGAGATAGCAAGTCATATTTTTGACATACTGCTGCTGCAGAAATAGAGAAGGAGAGGAAAAAATTCCTGTTTTTCTTGGCAGGGATGGGCTTCCATAAATAATAATAAGTCCAGAATACCATACTTAAAAAATATGTATGTATATATATATATATATATATATATATATATATATATGGGCATGATTTATTATCTTATAGATGATTTCAAACTTACTTAAAAATAAATTCCAAACATTAAATATATATAATTTTATATATGTATATACAGTATGTGTATGTGTGTGTGTGTGTGTATATATATATATATATACATACATGTATATTTTAAAAAGATGGTTCTTGAAGTGTTCTTTAGTAAAGGGATCCATGAGTTAAATATAGAACAATTTCATAATTAAATGGTTCTTTCCATGGTGAAAGTGTTCTTCAAATTAATGGAGGGTGTGTTGTATATGGTTCTATATAGCACCAAAAAGGTTCTGCTGTTGTATACAAGCTTGACATTGTAACAATAGTAGAACCCTTTTTGGTAACTAGTTAGAGCTTGTATGCAGGACAATTATCTGGGTGGTCCGAGGGGGACCAGCAGTGGCAAACAGCGGGGTACCAACCTTATCAAGCCAGTGGACCGATTCACGCTCGCTATCTGTTTGGTCTTTTGTATTTGGGAACATAAACTGGAATAAAGTACAGATGATTTACGATAAATGTATAAATAATAAAGGAAGTGACTTTTAAAATTTTACACAGCCTCCTGCTGGAAATAGGTGTTTCTGTTGGTTCCTGATAGTTTTGTAAAGTGTAAAAGTGTTGATACCACAGTGTAAAGCATCCTAATGGTTTAACAGGTGACCAATGGCTTCTAAACGGTTTCCTAATGTTCTACAGGAAACTACTGGTCTCTATTTGAAACCATTAAGCTGTAGGAGTTTTTTGATAAAGATTTTTCAAAAGTAATTGATGAATCATAATTATTCATATATAAGCATTACATGGTGGATCAGCAGTTTGGCTGTGTGTGTGCCTGTGAGTGGCCTTGAGGTGTCGGCCGTGACCTGATGGGACACACACATACAGCCGGACTCTTTATATCATTAGACATTAAAATGATCATTGGGAAAGGGGGAAGAGTACATATGTAGCAGAAATAAATTTAAATTTAAAGGCATATAAATCCAAATATAATAGATGAAGCAAATCAAGCTTGAAGGCTCAGGCCTGAGAGCAGCCTTGGCCTGCAACAAATGAAAAGAAATATATTTGGATATATATATTTGGTTTGGAAATAAGGGTGGTAAAAAGACCATGACTTTTGGAGATAACTGCAAATCAAAAAGTTTGAAATATTTGGGAAGGGCAAGGAGGAGCCAGGTGTTTTCCCAAAAAGAGTACAAAAAGTGTGGATTTTTGTGGGTTGGTTAGTCGTTCCTGGGTCAACTCAAGATTAATACTTGATGCCGGAAAGCCTTAATCTTCGATAAAAGAATTGTGCCTTTCTAATGTCCTTTTTCAGCAGGAGGGTTTGTCCTTTTAAAGGTGTGTATGTATGTATGTAGCAGAAAGAAATTTTAAATCGTATAAATCCGAATATAATAGATGAAGCAAATCAAGCTTGAAGGCTCAGACCTGAGAGCGGCCCTGGCCTGCAACAAAGAAATATTACTTCTTGGTTTGGAAATAAGGGTGGTAAAAAGACCATGACTTTTGGAGATAATGCTGTGCAAATCAAAAAGTTTGAAACACTTGGGAAGGGCAAGGAGGAGCCAGGTGTTGACCTCTCTTTGCCCAATAAATAGCATGGATTTTTGATGCAACTCTTGATGCCGGAAAGCCTTAATCTTCAATACAGAATTGTGCCTTTTCCTGCCGAGCCTGGTGCTTTGTGTTTTTTGGGTTCTGTGTTGGGAGCAAAATTGCAAAGATATTTTTTCCTAGGCCAAAGCCAATTTCCATTAGAGGATAAAACCACTCTGTTTTCATCCTGATGGTTTCTAATGTCCTTTTTCAGCAGGGATATATCCTTTTAAAGGTGTTCTAGAGAGATTTAGAGTTATTAATGAATGTTACTGGAGCTTTTGTGGTTTAGAGCAGAAAACAAGTCTCTGTTTTACCACTGTACTTACACAGGGCAGAATTCTGTGAGAAGAAAGACCGGACACTGCATTGCACTGGATGATTTAGATATTAACTTCTCTTAGGACAGATTGGAAAATAAACATCTTAAATCTGTACAGGATTTAGTGATTGTTATTGTAAACATCATTTACATCAGTAGAGATGGTCTGAATACAAGCCGAACTTCCTCCAAGAGATTAAGGAATATAACACTAATTGGAAAAACATACATGAAACAAGAAAGCTAAAGGACTTATAAATGTACACCGATTATGGTCTTATTTAACCCTCTACTGCACGCTGGCGCCATATGGCAACAACTACTTTATCTTAATTTTACCAAAAAGCAGTAATATAAAATCTGTGTTTTCTTATTTAATTGTGGAAAAAGGGTCTTTTACTTTGAAAGGACAAATACTTTATGACATCACATGACCAGGAATTGTTATTATGATGATGTTATTACCATACATTCCAAATACCAGTTGAAATTGAATTAATTTCCAATATTTGTAAATATTGGGTCGTACATTTCACTGAGTATAAGTTGGATTTGTTTGATCTTGTTTTGGATAAAAGGATAAAAAGATGTTTTTAGAGAAAAAAAAATACATTTTATGGTGCTTTTTTATTAGATTTTATGGTGCTGTGGTACAATTGCGCATTGTTGCCAAATGGCAACAATTTACCAGGTAACCCTCTAAATTTTTAGAAATAAATAGATAGATTATTTTAAGCAATTTCAAATAACAAATAAACATCTTAAATCTGTACAGGATTTAATCATTGTTATTTTAAACATCATTTACCATCAGTAGGGATGGTCTGAATACAAGCCAGACT